TCGCTCTCACTCATATTCCTTGCATAGGCGCCAGTCCTCAATACCCTCCCTCCATCGTCAGCACCTACTCTCTCTCTCTCTCTCTCTCTCTCTCTCTCTCTCTCTCGTATGTGATCCCTACAGACATGCAGTATTCCTGGTTCAAACGCCTCCTCTCATGGCCGGCGTTTGGATTATCCCGAGGGGTCTACACAACTCAACAGCCATCAGAGGAAAGCAGGTAATTGAGGGGCCAGAATATGACCCAAGCATGCAAAAGCCTTTTTTTTATAAACGGTTACCTGGGAGAAAATCCACACACCCACATTCTATGTCCCTACGCTCAAGCAACTACCCCTGGACTCGTTCAGGCCCCTGTATACTTTGCCCATTTTGTTTTTCCCAAGCATATTACGGTATTATTACCTACCTTTTTACAGGAGAACCCAACATTGTTCTTCTGTATTGCATATCTGGTGATGACGTCAAGCATGCGGGCATACTCCTCTGATGGGTTTTTGAAGGCCCTCTTTCTTGTGGCAGAATTGTAAAACAGATTCTCGACCTACAACAGAAAGCATATCAACATGGCAATCAGCTTCAGTCAACAAGTAAACGCATTTCCCAATCAACAAGAACGGCAGCATTTTCTGCACCACATCACCAACTGCTTTTGCAATCAACCTTGAGGAATTTTTCCCCAGAGCTCGCTCGTAGTCACCGTACTCTCTTCCTCTAACTCTGCACCTCCCCCGCCCCGACCCCGCTCCCCCCCCTCCCCCCCCAAAACAAAAAGGAGACGAGTGTATAGAGTCTGCAGACTCTTCACACTCTTTCACCCCTCTTTATTGTGTTACCCATCTCAAGGCCCCCGAGGTTAATTCAGATGATTTTGTTCTGGTCATCTTGTTGCATCGGGATTCGAACTTGAGTCTGTATTTCAGCAGTTCATGGGTGTACCAACTGAGCTACACCATTTGTGTTATTAAACTTGTTATATTTTGTATGTCAGATTTTGTATCTCAGTGCTACTTCATGCCATGTTGGTTATATTGGTGGTCTGTGAAATTGCACGAACATATCTATCATCTCTGCAAAGAGCGTTCCGGCGATGTAGTTTGTCCTTTCCGGACATCCGTTAACATCGGAACAATCACGACAATGTAGTTCGTCCTTCCTGACATCCGTTACAGTCGGAGCAATACAGAGAAGAAGACATTATTAGCATAGCCCCTGTGCAGGGATGGCACGCACAAATCGAGAAATGGACCAAATGGTTCAATTCTCTTGACCACAACGAAAAACACGGATGTGGTTTCAGGAAGAGGATGAGATGGCCCTTGCTGCAAAGTTGCTATGCTATACCCTTAGAATAGTCCCCTTGCATTCATCCTCTGCGCAACCAGACCATAAACCCAAACACACTCTTGTCATGCTCTAAGTTCTAATGGTACCAATGTACAACTGTAAATGCTAAACCCAAACATTTTTATCCTGTCGAAAAGGTAGCGATTAACATCATTAAGTGCATCTGATTTCACTTTTTTTCTCTACTTTCACATGCCATTTGGTTATGTGCTTCTCTAAGTTTTCGTACCATATCCCCTCAAATACAAGACACCCTCAACATGACTGTATGGTGGATTGCACTCATAACCTGTATACATTCACAAATATTCACAATTAGGGTGCATTGCGTACGACTGCCGTCTTCATCCAAATAAAACGCCCGGTCATTATAGCTGTATTTGGTGCAACTTTCAGTCCAGCTACAGCTATAATGACCGGGCGTTCTATTCGGGTGAAGACGGTACGATAAGCATTTTCCCGTCATGATTGCCATCCTGTGATCTTTTTTGTCCTTCTCTCGACGTATATTTGGTTTCTCTTTTCCCTTTCAAATGCAAGTGTGATAGTAATCCATGGTCAGCTGGACGTGCAGAAGCTACTGCTAAACTGCACATATATGCCCCCCCTCCCCCGCCTTGCACTCCGTGAAGCACCAGCAGCACAGCAGAGGCCTCTCCTATGCTCTCCTATGTTGGTTCCTCCGTGGGTTTTGCCGCTCTCTTCATTTATCCTTCTTGCTTCTCGTTTGCGAAAGAAGTGTTTCCTGTGGCTTCTTGGATGGAGCAACTCTGCTGACGAGCCCATGGGAGCCATTGCCAAGGTGGAGAACACCATGCGTCCATGGATTGTAGATACCATGCAGGAGCTTTCTAATCCGTACAACGAAGAATCCCAACGCACAAGTACAAGAAATTGAATGCTAAGCCAACAAAAATGCTTCGAGTTGGGGTACACAAAGAGGACTCACCAGAATTTGTGTCCCTTTAACTGCTGCACATGGCCGGGGTTCAGGAGGATCCAGCTTTCCATCCTTGTAACAAGCTCTGCGAAAAGAAGAAGAAGAAGAAGAAGAAGAAGAAGAAGAAGAAGAAGAAGAAGAAGAAGAAGAAGAAGAAGAAGAAGAAAATTGAAAATTGTTACCATGCAGTTTTTTCAACTTTTTTGCCAGTGCCAGCTACCATACCACCTTCCTTGGAACACAACACACCGTCATCATGCATGTATACAAGCTATCTTCCCAGTTCGATACGGTCATCATGAGGGTGATGCGTTGTGTTCCGGAGAAGACGGTAGGGATTGAGTAATGAAGAATGAAGTATGTTTGGAATTCAATGGCGAAGGAGAGGGCGGCGAAGGAGAGGAGGTGGCGAGGCAGGGAGAAAAGTGTGACACTGTGTTTATCATCGTCAATCATATTCACCCCTCATAAGAAAAGAGGAATGAAAAAAGGAAGAGGGAGGGAGGGATGGGGACAAGGGGCGGGCAAAAGAGAGGGGAATAGGGGGGGGGGGGGGGGGGGGGAAGAGAGAGAAGGACGAGGAGTAGGAGGAACATTAAAAAATGAATGAAGACAAAAACAAAAAACACGCTTTCATACGATTATCATAACAAGCCAGTTGCCCGTCAATCACCACTATCCTGTCGTTGGCCAACCATGTGCGTTGAAAATTTATGTTGATCTTGTCGACCTCCTCTGGTTCCTTCTCCTTTTGATGAACGTCTGCCACAGCCCCCGTTTTTGTCACAGAGAGCTCACAGAGAGCTCCCCGTGAACCATCATAGTAAGCAGAAGCGGAGAAAAAGGTGAGAAAGGGGGGGGCCATGAGAGTAGCTGTCTTGTTTCCCCCCCCCCATTGGTTCTGAGCTTGTTAGCACTCTACAGTTCCAACGATAGTCCTCTTCATTGTTCCCTTGACTACCTGGGAGTGCCCAAGTCGAGTCAGTTCCCCTGGATTGCAGACAGGAGAGCGGGATGCCGTCGCCCGTCGGGTAGACACGGTGGATGCAGATAGGAGAGTAGGGGCATATGTCAGGACAAAGTGGACCGTAGTGGAGTTAGTTGCCAACGACTGTGATGCTTAGTTCGCGTGAGACAGCAGTGAGTAGGAAGCCTCCGTCCGGAACCGTAAAACGACGTTAGATCTCGATGGTCCAGGCAGGACAGCTATCTGCATGCGACCAGAGGAGCACTGCACTTTTCAGCTGCTGTGGAAAGGACTTAGAGCATGACAGGACCACGGCATAGTAGTACACCATCTCACCAGGTGAGCTGTAGTGCAGGTGGTGCAGCGGCCATGACCACCTCATCTGGAGCTTAGCGACAGGCAAGGGGACCTGGTAGGAGGAAACGGAGAAACACACGGGAGATTCTGTAGCCATCAGACACAGTAACTGGCACACATCCCTACTCAGGAGGTGATACCTCCATAGCCGCTTGCTTGAACACCCTTCATCAGTCACTTTCTTCTTCAGAGTGCACATATCTGCAGTCCTACATGACCAGTGACTTGTACTGGGTTATTCTAGGAACGGTAACCTCTGTGCGAGAGAGTGAGGGACAGAGAGAGAGAGAGAGAGGTTGAGAGAGAGAGAGAGGTTGAGAGAGAGAGCGAGAGTGAGAGAGCGAGAGAGAGGGAGTGAGATAAAGAGTGGGAGAGAGAGTGAGGGAGTGAGATAAAGAGTGGGAGAGAGAGTGAGGGAGTGAGATAAAGTGTGGGAGAGAGAGTGAGGGAGTGAGATAAAGAGTGGGAGAGAGAGTGAGGGAGTGAGAGTGAGGGAGAGAGGCCATATTTTCGACGTTATCGACCTTCCAACCATTCCATATTCTCCTCCCTCCCAGCTTCCAGTCCGGCACCAATTATCTCTGCCATCGTATGTCATTCGATGCCCTGTCTCGTCATTCTGTTCCATCTCACTCTCATTTTTCCAGTCAACTGAGTCCACCCCTCAATTTTTTAATCACTTCCATAATTCCATTACCCCCTGATGGCAGTTCAGTTCCAATTACATTCTGTTCCAATTGCAATTACAAAAGTTCCATTACCTTCCCGATTCTGATTCCTTTCTATGTCCACAGTCCATTTTCCATTCCTTTTTTTTTTTTTTTAAATAGCCCTTGTGCAAGCCCTCTATTCCGGCGGTGGTAAGAGAACCGTCAGAATTGAGGGCTTATCTGTCCGGCTGCTCCATCTATTGGTGGGGAGCGGCACCTGCTGGACACCAGGTCCAGCGTCCCATTGATACATCTTGTAACACAGAGATTGCTGTTTGTTGTTTCCTGGGGCTGTGGTCGCTTCTCTTCTCAGCCCGGGGCTCCGATGTCCCATGGAGCTGCTAGTACCACCCATCCCCTTCTTGGAGCCCCCCTTATCTATTAGCCCAGCCCTTTCCAGTTGTGTTCCAGTTCCGCTCCGACAGTGCCAAATTCCAATTCAATTCAATTCCAAAGTTCACCAACTCAATTCCAATTCGATTGCAAATTGAATCCAATTCCCATTCCAATCCCAATTCAGATTTGGTCCAATATCAATTCAATTCCAATGCCAATCCAATTCCATTTTACTTTCCATTTCAATTTCCATTCCATTTCCAGTTCAATTTCCATCGCAGCTCCATGCCCACACAATTCCAATTCAAGTCAAAACAATTCCAGTCAAAACTCCCCCCATTCCCAATCGCAATCCCATTCCAGTCAAACTCCACAGTGTCCACACCCACTTCAGATCGCAATTCCATTCAAGTTCCTGGTTCAGACCAACTGATAATTCCACTTGCCTTTTAAAACATTCCATTCCCATTCTCATGTCTGTGCCATTGCTTTATAAAAAATAAAAAATAATTTTAAAAAAAACACATTCTGGAGGGCGTCAGTCCGGTTACTTATCACCGGCAAGCATCTTCTACAAGTAATGAGGGAGAAAAGGCAAGAAAAGAGAAGGGACAGCCTTACCCTTGTGGCAGGAGCTGCCTAAGCAAAGGGGGGCTGCTACGGACCACACCATCCCCAACCCATGACCCGGCCTCGGGGATTGCCTTGCAGGTCGGAGTCTTACTGCAGCACCCAGGCACACAGCAGGGTCATCCCGAGGAGGGTAGGGCACACCGGGGGGTGGGGGGTCCCAACAGTCCCTCGGCCGCTTGTCACCCACGCTATCATCCCCAGTCTTTAGGACCCTTGTAGGTCTAATGAACAACCCTTATGTCTCTCATGAACCCTTCACTCCTCATTTTTTGCCTGCCTACTAGTCTATTTCCATTTAGTTTCCTGTCTGCATTATCCCCCTCATTCCCAGAAGTATTAGGTATGCCCCCATACGTGTTCTGTACAAGCGTACGAGTCGTCATGTCTTCCACCCAATATTGGGGTTATTCCTGACCCCAGCATTTTCTTGTATTTACTATGTTTACAATGTTTTCGGTGCTTCAACTATCCCAAAGTTTCCTGGTGTTTTTGTTCCAAATCCCCTTCCTCCCCGTCCCAAACTATTACCCCCCTTTCCTCTCTGCCTACTCCCTTCCTTTCTACCTCCCTAATGTAGTACAACTACCTTCCTTAGACTACTCATCATCCCTAACTATGGTACACGTCAGCTAAGGTCTCTAATCCGATCCCCCCTCCGTCACAGGGCGGGGCATGTAGCGCATCAGCGTGGGCTGAATTGCATTTGGCCCGTGTCGGGATCTCGGCTGGGGACGCTCCCTGTCTGCAGCGCTCGTTCCGCAGGGTCCACAGGGTCCATATTTGGATTTTCTCCAATGCCCGTTCTTTCTTGATGTACTTGCAACGTTGGGGATGCTCCCTGTCTGCAGCGCTCGTTCCGCAGGGTCCACAGGGTCCATAATACTGTCGCTCGTATGGTTTCTGCTGCAAGCAGATCTTCTGGTTTCCTCCTGTCCACTTTCACCAGGGCTCCGAGGAGGATCTCTGCATCGTCTACCTCCCTGACAACCAGCGGGGACCCCTCTGCTACTTCATGCGCCCACCATTCCCAAAAGGCCCGGGCAATCGGGCATCGCACGTAGAGATGAGGGAGGGACTCCACCTGTCCACACCGCAGCGCAGCTCTGGTGTTTGTGCTGGATCTTGGTTGCCATCCATTGTGCCGTGGGGATGGCGAGGTGGTAGGCCAGCCTGCTTGGCAGGGCGGCCAAAATGGCGCTTTGCTCGTTCCACATCCGCTGCGTCCACCTGTTGAAATACACATCAGGGAGCCACCCCCTTCGGCCCATTGGTTCCTCAGTTCCGCGCAGATGTCCACCGGTTGCAGCAACGACTTGTACATATTCTTTGTAGTAAGATCCTGGAGTGGATCCGGTTTCCTCAACATTTTCTGCGCCGGCAATTCCCACTCTGCCATGTCCCATATCAGATCCCGTCGCCTGACTGCCAATCGGTATGGCAAGTATTGTGTTTCCCCCTTCGGACCTCCTTCACATACCGCCACGGTTTCAACGACGCTCCTGTCCACTTTTTTGGGAGGGCTTCCTTCATATGCACCAACTTTCTGCAGGGGTGCCCCCAGCCGTTGATACCCCGAGTTCGCCAGCCATCCAGAGACTTCCATTCTTCCATCAGCCAGTACCTGCTCGACTCCTTAGACTCTCTCTGGTCTCACCTTCTCCTTCATCTTCACCCATTCCCCCGGAGTCAGTTTGTCCCTTCTTCATAGGTCCTCCCAATGAGTGGGAATGACCTCCCGCAGCTCTGCCACCCTTTGCCTCCGTCTCATTCGCCCGTTCAGGGTTTCCACCATGTCCATGTCCGGGTGCCAATCCTTGCGTCGCTCATCCCACAAGTGGCCTACTTTGTAAATTCCCCTGCATGGCCCATAACCATCTGTATGCCCTGCGCCATGGGAAGGGATCGCCGGCCCCATTGCAGATGAACCTATTGTCAACCAGCAGCTCATTAAAAACTACGTCAGCAGTCTACAGCAGGCGGCACCACAGTCGGAACTTCTTCCATAGCGCCAATTTTGTTGTCCACACCGTGTCCTTGCAGATATGGCCTATCGCTGCGCTGCTCAATAGGCACAGGTCCACCAGTTCCCTGGGCACCTGGAGGGCATATGCCAAATTGGTTCAAGTCACTTCTTGCCAGGCACCCCCGACCGTGCCTAGGAGATGCCAGAGCAGCTGGCGAAGCTGCCGAGCTATGATTTGCATTCGCGGTTCATTCCACTTCCACTACCACTTCCGCTTTCCTTTTTTTTTTCCATTTCAATGTCAAGTTCATTCCATTTCCACACTTAGTTCCAATTGCAAGTGCTTTTCTCCCATTCTCATCCTCGTTCTGTTTCAAACTTTCAAGCCCAATACCTTAAGTCTTCTTTTCCATTCCACTTCTTTAGAATCCAACTCCGATCCCACACACATCTCAAACAAGCAGACCCCTCACTGTTCCATTCAGATTCCAATTGCCAAACTTTCCGTTCCAATTCCGTCCCGATCCCGATCCCAAACCACACGAAAAAAAGGGGCAACAACAACTGCCTTTTTCATTTCTCCTCATGGTTCATCAAGCAAGCAGGTGATACCTGCACCCTTTTTCACCAGTTCGCTCCTGACAAACATCCCCCCCCCCCTGCGCCCCCCCCTCTCTCTCTCTTTCGAAATGAGCTTTCCCTCCTTTACAAAACTGGAACGTCAAACAAGGGTTACCTTCCAACCTACCTACCTACCTACCTGACCTACCTGTAACCATGGGCTTGACCAGCAGTCATAGTGGTCACAGTGAGGTGTGCTACATATGAGATGCTTGACAAAGCTTCACCACGAAAGCCAAGGGTCGCAATTTGCATCAAGTCTTCGAACGCTGCGAGCTTGGAAGTTGTATGCCTCTCGCACAATATTGGCAGGTCCTCGTACTAAGATGAAAAAAAAAAAAGGGAAAAAGAACAAAAAATTACAAG